CACAGGTTGTCGATACGTCAGTCACTGCCACCGACAACAGTCCTTCTCAGGACTACACTCACCCGGACGATCAGACTACACCTTCACATGTTACCCCCGGGTTTAAACCATTTACTGCGGTATGTGTTTTCTTCATCAAGTATTAACAACAGTTGATTAGTGGCATATATCTTCTGTTACGAATAAACTGAGTGGTATGTTTGCATTGCCAGGACCAAACTTGGTTTAAAAGGGAGCATTGTGGACTGACTGTAATATATATATTCTTCTTTCTTTTTCGTGTTTGCATTATTTTTACTGCTCTGGGGGAATTTCTAGTTTGTTTGTGGCCCTCTTCTGGATATTCTAGTCGAGCCCAGGGATTTAAACTACACTGACAGCATGAGAGGGAATTTAATTGAATTGAAGATAGTTAGAACTTCCTTTTAAGTTAGGTCAGAACCAGTGTCACTACTTTATGATCAATATTTAATAGTGGAATGTGTTTTTCTGTTCTTCTTTGGTTAACAGCAGTTGGAAATTGAAATTAAGGCTTATTGATGCAACACTGAGCCTTCTTTAAAGTCCAACTGCATTTTTACTTACACTCAGTAGCCAAGTAGACTGTGTAACTTGGAAGTGGCAAGCTAAAAAAAGCTGATGTTTTAATTTCTTTATCTTGTAATCAGGAACATCTTCGCTTGGATCACGATTATCTCCACTGCCAGATGGACAACCTGGGGGATGTTGTAGATGACCTGCATCGGTTAGTAAACCATCTCCAAGACGGGCAGCGCCATCTCCAGGATGAGCAACGTAGATTACACGAAGCGTTTCAACAGCTACAGGAGCACCTCCACGTCTTCAAGCAAGACAATCTACATCAAAGGCAAGATGATATAAAGAATGCCTTGTGTGTATTGAAAGATGTCCTTGAAGATCTAGCCAGCTCACGTGACGAACAGAGTGCCAAAGCTAACCCTCCCCGCAACTATGAAAGAATGATTCGAGCCATTAAACAAGCTTTGGAACCTAGAAATGGAGATCTGGCCGAGTCAGACCTATTTGTAACACAGCGGGGAAATCCGTCCACCGAAACACCCTGCGAGTGCAACGGTAGTGCCCAGAACCTTGCTTTTGCACAACGGGTTGCCAGTCTTGAAAAGAGAGCTGACACCATCCAGGAGGGCTCCAGGAGGCATGAACAAAAGATGGAATCCATCGAGCAGACACTGGCACTGAGAAATGTTACCCTGGCGGATTTAGAAGAATACGTGCGACAGCAAGAGATCCCAAGCCACGATGGCCAGTTGTTGTGGAGGATTTCCGATTTTTCTCGCAAACGTAATGATGCAGTTAATGGAGAGAGAGCCTCCATCGTCAGTCAAAGTTTCTCAGACAGTCGCTTTGGTTACAAGATGTGCGCGCGTATCTATCTGAACGGCGATGGCATGGGTAAAGGAACGCACATCTCTGTCTACTTTATGGTGATGCGCGGTCAGTATGACGCCCTTCTCAGCTGGCCATTCAGACAGAAGGTCACCTTCATGTTGCTGGATCAGGATAACGTGAAACACGTGATTGACGCCTTCAGACCTGATCCGAACAGCTCATCCTTCCAGAGGCCAAAAAGGGAAACAAACATCGCCGATGGATGTCCAATGTTCTTCCCGCTATCTGAGCTAAATAATCATGCATATGTCAGGGATGACACCATGTTCATAAAGATTATTGTAGATACTGATGGTCTGTAAACAACTACAACAACGACTTCATCCGACGAAAGACTCACCGACCCACTACCACTACCGAAACAAACGACACCGCAACCCCTACGACTACAGCAACCATACCGTACATAAAAGGCATGTCTGAAAACATCTCGCGCATCTTACTACCCTTCAATATCCGCGTCGCCCACAAACCCATCACCACACTACGTCAGTTACTAACCAACGTTAAAGACAAAGACGAACCGAGGAACAGACAGGGAACGATTTATAAGATCAATTGTTCCGACTGCCAAGCCTCCTACATCGGTGAGACTGGCAGAAACCTCACAACAAGACTGACTGAACACAGACGGGCGACGAGGAAAGGTGATGTCAGCAATCACATTGCTGAACACCATCGACTTACCAACCACAACATTGACTGGGACTCTGCGCAATGCCTAACCTACAGCACTGACTATTTTCAACGACTGACTCTGGAAAGCTGGTTTACTAACTTAGAACAGACTCCCCTAAACAGATGTCAACAACTACCCGC